GTAAAACATGTTAAGTAATCATTCAGTGAGACAGTGTAATGCAGGCCCAGTGACAGAAATAAAATTCAAGGTGGTCTTAAACTTTTGCAAATGGCTGTAACACAGCTTGGGCACACAGGTGCTTTCGCCTAAACAAGATGCAAGGCTAAATACAAGCAAATGTGGTGGTCAGATTAGTGGCAAGTGGAAAGATGCTCATTGTTCACTTGTGTGCATGTCCAATGCTATGTTGATAAATAAAGTACCTAGACCTTGCCAATATTCACCCTGGTCTCAAGTCAGAGAGCATACATGTATACACATACATACGCTTCAGCAAGGAATTCCAAACCTGGTACCAATGTGACATTTCAACATATAAATTGGATGCCAACTGGTAAAGAACCTTCAGAAAACTTTTAGGAGTGAATTTATAAACCATCCATATGGAGCATGTACAACACAAAATCAGTCTGGCAAATATTTGATCCTTAGCTTACTTGGAAAGAGTTCCCCAAGGTATTAGTTCACTAACCATCTGTCATTCTGTCAACAGAAAGGTGAGCTGGACGACGCTCTTCACTACGCCCTGGTCAACAACCAGACGGACTTTGTCAGGCTGTTTATGGAGAACGGCATCAGTTTGAAGGACTACCTGACAATCAGAGAGCTCACCCTGCTCTACAATGAGGTGCATAAATTACAAGCCTTCAATGACATATTGATACTTGAGAAGCATTGGTGGAGTCACGGTGGCCAAATATTAAACAAAGGTCCATTGGGAATGAGTAAGAAAACCAAGAACAAAGTCTATGACTTTTGACAACTGTGCATTGTTGTGTTAATTTTAATCCAGCTATTTTACTCTCAGCAATATAGTTTTTAGGCTGGTCACTTGAAATACCTAAGACAGTTGGTGCACTGTGATTGGTCCAGAGCCTGTCATATGTGAGGTGTTTGACAGTTGTCATCAAGAGAGGCATGTATTGAATGGGAGTAGAAGTCTTAAAGAAGGAATGATTGAAATGTGTAGATTTTAGAACCAGACAGGATTGGCCAGTCTAAAGCACATTTCTTTCCGTTAGAACCTACTGAAGTGAATGTCAGCCTCTACTTGGACTCATATGGAGGTTATTTATGATTTTGCCCTGTTTCATGTTTTTATTTTTTGTGTCAGGTGAAGAAGAACACGCTGCTGTATGAACTACTTGACAAGCACAGGGGTAAGGTGAGTGAAACAGTCACAAACTATGGCCAACTGCGTCCTCCTTCTACGGGTAGTGAAATCATTGGACCCGTAGGTGCAATGAGTATTGAGAGTTTTAACCACTTGGTGCGACCTTGGCTTTTGTATGCATAGCTGGGGTGTACGAAACCAGACCAAGGAGCTGGGCCTTGTAACTCAAGACCGTACTTGGAACAAAAGACTGAGCTGCTGGGAATTGCCAATCAATGTTCATATGCTGGCAGCGGAGTGCTGGCGTTAGCAGAGGTAATCCGTCATTGCTTTGAAATAGCATTCAGTGCCTGCGGATTATCAGCGAGGACAAAGGCGCTCCAGCACTCCAGCTGCAGTATGACCTATAGAATACTGCTGCACGCCAATCTGGCATCATTTGTAAAGTCACCACCGCCATTGAGCAACGCACTGGGCCAGTTTCGGGAACAAAGGAAATTACGCAGCACCGCACAATGTGGGCTCTCTTTACTGGGCAGCAGGCCTGGCTGCAATACTCGGGTGTCAGTGGAGGTTGCCTGTCAGATTAGAGTAGCCACCAGACAGTCATTTTTGTGGGTGTAAGTGTCCAGTAAATGAAGATATGAAGTTTTGAAGAATTTTGAAAACGGAAAATCTTGAAAATTGCTGGCAACTTGTCCCGTTGTGCAAATTCCACCCGGCAGGAACTGGTTAATGGCTTACAGGATCTGTGGGTTTTGTGAATGTGCAAGGAGACACCTCATCAGCCGGCAAGACATCCCACGGATGCTAGTACATCACATGCATGTTTTCCCGGGGAGGGGGGAGACAAGTGGATTGTGCAGAGCTGCCAAGTGGTACCGATTTTCCGTAATTGGCACGGAAATTGATCGTGATTACGGGAGTATGGACTGCCGCCCAAAAATTACGGAAAACCCTCTGGCGGTCATGCGTAATATCGTGNATGCACAAACCACGCAAAATGGTTCGGTTGATACTCGACTCGCCCGCGCTCAGACCATGTGCGGTGGTGTAACCTGTCCCGCGCTCGCTTGCGGGGGGGTGTAACGTGTGAAGACCGACTCCCCAGTGATCTGGACGTTTTGTATACGCCACATCGTAACATGTACATATACATGTAAATTGTGTGATACGGTAACCAGTGAAACATACACAGGACTACCTGTGGCACGCTGGTGCCCGACGACACACACACCATATAGTGTGTATTTGCCTGCAACTGGGGACCCCCTATTGTTCCTCTTTTGTTTGTACTTTAACTTTTTTACAAGACCACCCATATGTTTTGTACACAGTTGCCAATTGGGGACCCTCTGTCAATCAGGGACCTTATTGTTCTCTATTGTTCAAGGTCCCCAATTGAATGCAGAAACAAACTCACCCACACACAAAACACTGTTTTTACATGGGACAACTCGACATGCAAAATATCGACCAATAACACAACTCGAATGCACGGACAACTCGGCATCGTAGTGTAATATTGTGTGTGCACATTGGTGTGGGTCTGAGTTGGTATGGGTGCGAGCTATATTTGGTCCGAATTGGTGATACCCATTTTCGCAACAATCACGGCGTGAGTGTGACACGTTGTGCATGACAACACCCCGCCACCGTACTCGCTTGGATATTTCTACGATGGCACGGACTTCGTCATTCTTTCTTGGAAACGAAATGGCTTCTAAGGCTAAACGAGTGAAAAAGCTGCAGACATTTCGAATACCACAAGAGTACCACAAGAAATGGCCATGTATCACGGCATCTTCAAAAGGTGAAAATTTTGCACGATGTATGCTGTGCTCCAACAATTTCTTGATCGGATACGGAGGATCAAATGACGTCAAAGTACATGTCAAGTCAGTGAAACATCGCGCAGGTAAGGATGATAGGGAAGGGAATCAGGACACAGCAACATTTTTCCACCCTAAAGACAATGGTACCATTCGAGCAGAGGTGTTGATGGTGCAGTTTTTTACCGAGCATAATATTGCAGTAACTTTATTTAATTTGAAGCTACATGTAACGGTATGCACGTTATAATAAGAATTTGGATTACCTGTATTGCTAACATTGGTTTCCATGCTTATGCTGCAGGTGCCCTGTGGAAGTATACACATCATCAAAGGCTGTCCATTTGATTTATAATTTGGCATGCAAAGCAGATATAATTCAAAACTGTTTTTTATTAAAATTTATTACTTTCCGCATACTGAAAACTCCCATACTACATGAACAATGTAAACATGCTGTGTTGAACATTGCGCATCAACTAAAAATAGTATTTTCGTAGCCAATCGGCTCTGCGAAAGAAATGACTGATTTCCTCTGAAAATTACTTATTTTTAGAGTTGAGATTACTGAAATGCTCCAAAAGAACCTGGCAGCTATACTTGCATATAGTTTCACCTGAAAAAGCACTGTTAAACCTGTTGGGTTTTCATGTCAGCCACCATTTGTATGGTGCTAGCAGAGCTTAGGTGTCTGCCAATTTATCCCTATTGAGGGGGACTGAATTCTGCAGGCAGACCTTAGTTGAGCACAAGCTTGCGTAAACTCAAGAATCAGCCGCACCTGCATCCAAGCTTCCATTTAAGCCTAGCAGTCCAGGGCTCTTTTCCAGACAAAATTATCTTTAAATCTTTCGAAAATTTCGGTAAAATGAAAAGTGCCACTTCAATTCGTGTTCATGATGATCAGTTTTTGCGACTTTCTTGGTTTTGTAACTTGTTCTAGTCCGGTAAACTTAACAAGGCACTGGGCCTGGGATCAGGATTTGTTCATTTACGATGTTTACAATCTCTGTATGTCAGTGACAAAAGGATTTGTATCGGAATCCTACATGTACATGTATGTAGCTTTGAAGTCTCATGTCTGTTTTGTGTGATTGTTTTTAATCAGTCGTCCGAGAAGTTCACCCTTGTGGATGTCGGCAAAGTGATCCAGGAGCTGACCATGGACACCTATGAGCCCCTGTACCTGCGGGAGAGGAGCAAGTACTCTCTATCGAAGAATGACATCTGCAGAGGGCCGGATAGGCCCACAGAAGAGTTAGGGGAGATAAGACGCGAACACACCCTGATGGAGGGTCTCCGAGCTGTGTCCAATAACATGGCTCGACCCGGTAAGGAACAGGACATCAGTAAGCAGAGAAAAGAGTGTGGCAGTCAGTGGGCCATTAGGGTGCGATACTGACACCAGATCAGAAGCCAGATCGACAGAGATGCCAGGTGGGCAAGAACATCACCTGGCACGTAAATAAGTTTTGCTGAGGCAAGGCTGGTCAACAGGAAGTAAACCATGTGGTGCTTTTTGGCATGCATCTGATTTGCTGCCGACTTTTTCCAAGGGCTTATGTGTCCGTGACCAAGGTTTTTTACAACCAGTAATTTCACATTAAAAGAGGAAAAATTAGATTTGAATTATCAGTGATTCAGTAACTGCTGTTAGAAAGGTGAGTTCAGTTGAACTCTTTAATTATTTGGAGTTCAGTTGAACTCTTTAAATTATTTAGTGTATTATTTTTTTTGTTTTTGTTTTTCATCACTGCTTAAGACTCTCCGGAGAAGAACCAAGACTTCCACAGTCCAGTGCGAGAGCTCTTCCTCTATGCTGTCCTGCTGAATTGGGAGCAGATGGCGCGAATGTTCTGGGAGGAAGGGAAGGAAGCCATTCCTAGCGCCCTGACTGCAAGCAAAATATTGACATCCTTGGCTGCAAAGGAACGTGACCCTGACCAGAGCACTATCATGCAGTTGCATGCCACGTAAGTTGACATGTTGAAAGCAAGGATGTCACTTTTCCGTTTATGTAGAATGAAATTGTGTCCAATTCAACTGGTTCGTTTGTTTGATATTTGAATGTCAGGAATTCCCTGAAATTGTCGTATCCTGTAGGAGCTATGAAGATTTGGCCCTGGGTGTGCTGAACGAGTGCTACAACGATAACGCTGACCACACCTCCCTCCTGCTGGTGAGGGAACAGGAGAACTGGGGTAGGACCACCAGCCTGAGCCTTGCCAAGCAGGCCGACAACAAGAACTTCATCGCGCACTCCGGAGTCCAGAACCTGCTGACAGAGATCTGGAGTGGGAAGTTGTCGAACGAGAACAGTTACTGGCTGGTGAGCCGATGAACGCACCATTTTCCTTTTTATGTTTTATCCCCGATGGTCTGAAGGATTGTTGCGTTCTGTTGTGTCCCCTCAGATACCCCTTCCCTTCTCTTTGCACAAGAGCCCTGCATTGGTGAAACTTAGAGGAATAGTTACCCATGGGTAGGAGGTCAAGATCCCCGTGGTGAGACGTTAACAAGTGTGAGGGGTCAACATCAGCATGTAAGGTATAAACAAAGACGAGATTTACCCAATGTTACCATTCCACTGTGCCACTAAGCACTCCATCTTTGGTGTTCTTCCCAGCTCTGGGCCTGCACCTTTCTTGCCACCCTTGATTCCTTGCATCATCAAGTTCCGAGAAGATGAGAAGCCCGATGACGAGACTGTCACCGTGCAGAGAAAAATCTCCAAGAAACAGGTTGGTGACTGGACTGGCAGAGGTTAACTAGTGCATTTGATTGCAATCTCAACTGAAAAAAGAAATATATAGCAGAGTGAGTTACAAGTTACAGCTGATGAAGCCCATCCTGGTGATTAGTGGGAGTTTTGAATGAAGGAGTGTTGAAGTTTTGTGCCCATCAGTGGAAAGTCAGTTTTATTCATTGAGCATGGCTTGCACATTAGGCTGAATATTTGATGCTGGTTGTGATGACCCCTGGCGTATATCTTGTGAGACTGCATGGCTTCCTAATGGGCATGAGAAGTGCACGGAAGCCATGGCGAACCTACACAAATTCAGCTTTACGTGTATATCGGCTACTCGCACTTTGGTGAAATTTGGCAGTGTTTCCTTGCTTCAGACTGTATTGACAGTTCCGGTGTCCTTGATAATGACAACACTGGTCATTTACAGTGGCCCCCTGTAATGGCGGTAAGCAGGGTAAATGCTACGGAGCCACTGTTCCATGACAGTCGTTCCATACAAAACCCAAATGCATGCTTATCGCCATTCAAAGGGGGCCACCAGGAGTGGTCAGTGATACGTCAGTGACTTCCTCTATGTCTTAAGTGTCAAGATCCTGTGACACTGACTCATTTGAATTCTGGTCACTACACAGTCAAAAACCTATGAGGTGGCTGAAGTCCAGAATGCTGCACTGGTCGGTGGGCAGAATGGCCTCCACAATGAAGTCTTTGAGCTGTCAGGGGTACAGGATGCCGCGGCAGGGGATAACCTGGAGGAAAACGGAGGTCCACACACCAACAACACTAAGTAGGTCTATTACCATTTGTCAGCATGGACAATAAAGGGAATGCTTGATTACATCATCATATCCAGATAATCAAGTTGTCATCATTAACGTTGTAATTTGTTCTTCTAGGAATTTTTTAAATGAAACAAAGTTAACAAGATGGATTCCAGCCTCTTGAATTTAAATAGTAAAGAAGCTGTACCTCCCGACTGTAAATTTCCATGTATGCAGCATTGACCACTGGACAAAGCACAGGCTGATCGAAAGACTGCCAGCGTAGGAGTTGAGTTGGTACAGCGCACATTCCAGAATTTGGAGGTTTAAAAATCCCTGCTTTAGTCAGGTTTCTGTTTTCAGCAGTCCAGTTTGTGCTATTACAGTGATGCTGACAAGAACGAGAACGAAGATCCTGATAAGTACCACGAGACGGCAGACATTGACATCACCAACAGCGGCAAGAAGCTCGCGTGGTGGCAACGCTTCTCCCTCTTCTATGATGCCCCAATCATCACCTTCAGACACAACGTGGTAAGAAAGCTTAGAGGGCTCAGATCACGTCTCTACTGCCTTTTGGAATGACTGGGGCACATATGGTTGTTGGGTTAATGATAGCTCTTTTGGGTGGAAACTGGAACTGGTGGTCAGGCTTCACCAGTGAAGTGCCAGGCAAAGCTAGGGTCTAACCAATCGTTTTAGCCAGGCCTCTAGATGGGCCTGGACAGATCGAAATCCTACCCACCTCAGGTGAGTCTCTGATTGCTCCTCAGCTCCATTCATTGTGCAGGCAGACATGCATTGGCTGCAGCACAAACAGTTGCATACCCTTGTTTCCCTTTGTTTGCTTGGAAGGAAATCCTTTCGCACAATCATAGCTGACTGGAATTGTCATTCAAGTCAGAGGGAGCAGTGGCCAATGGCGGAGCAGTGGCCAATGGCAGAGCAGCGGCTGGTAGTGAAGAGCCTGTTGTTCAGAGCAAGGGACTGAATATAAACCCAAAGGCCACTGCATAGCCCTGTGGCAAAGCCAGACTGCTGATTTTGGTTTCCCGTCTTAGGTTGTTTGTCAGCTTTTCATTGTTCTAGCATCGTGTTGATTTGGCAAGCTACCATAACCTTCAGCACTCCTTATAGTTTTGACATTTGAACCAATTTTTGAACCAACAAATGTCAAATCATACCTTCAAGTGATCCCATATGCAAGCATTTCCCTGTGACAATGACGTCTGTCAAACCTTACACTTTTATTGCAAAGACCGCAGAACACCAATACAAAGCATGTTTCCCATCATGCTAGTATGCTTAAAGTATTTTTCATTCCCTGTGTTCAGACTCCCGACGCACCATAAGTCACCTAGACCAAATTCCTATTAGATGAATACACTCGTCAAAATTCTTGCAGGGTTAAATTTTCTCTTAAGCTGCAGCTTCAAAACAACATTCACTGTCAACATTATATTGTTGGCAAGTCCATTGATTGCAGACTCTAGGAATGATTTACTCATTGAGATTCTTTGTCTTGTAGACCTGTTGTTTCTTCATAGCATCTTGTGCAATGTCTTAAAACTCTGACGTTTGATTTTGTGAACAGCTTTCGTACTTGGTGTTCCTGGTGCTGTTCAGCTACATCATCTTGGCCAATTTCACGCCCACCATCTCGATCTTTGAGATTGTGCTGATTTGCTGGGTGGGGTCTCTCTACATGGAGGAGTTGAGACAGGTACGAAGAGAGAACCATAGCCTAATCACTTATAACATATGCGCTCATGACCAATCTCTGCGGAGTGCCGAGGCTGATTTCAAGAGCCCTTGTAACAATTACATCAGTTACCTCCTTCGACTGTTCTAATAGACACAGACAATGTACATTTGTATACTTCAACTGCTGCCCATGTATACTTAACAAAATTGGTGTCAAAACGATTGCAAAACATCACTGAAAAACTCCTGACACCGTGGCACAATAACAAATATACAGCAACGATATCTGAGAAAAGTTGAAGGTTGCATCCAGACTTTTAATGTCACATAGTTTTACTTGCTTTCCTTTCTGTTATGATAATTGATTGTTTTAACATTTTTATTCGTTTGTTTCTCACCAGATTGCTCAAGGCGAATCCAACAGCTGGCGAGTCCGTTTCTGGTTCTGGATCACCGACTACTGGAACATGGTGGACATTGCCACCCTGGTCCTCTTTGCCGTGGGCGTGGCCCTGAGGTTCTTTGACCACCTCTTGGACTACGCCCGCATCATCCTAGCCCTGGACCTGGCTATCTTCTACATCCGCATCCTGCAGATCTTCTCCGTCAGCAAGAACCTGGGACCCAAGCTGATCATGATTGCCAAGATGGTGAGCCACTCCTCAACTCACAGTTCAGGTTCATTATGTCAAAATCATATTGGAGGTTTTTGCATAATTATTTGACACAGGCTGCATTCATGGGTGCAACTTTGTATAAAACATAGGCCTAACATATCTCTGGCCAAATTATATCTGAAATACATATTTTGTGGCGAGATCTGTAGTTTCCCTTCAAGGTGGATATCTTTTAGCTAGAGGTTTCAGTATATCCTGAACATCCGCTGTTGATCAAGGGCTTTTGTATTTGAATATTAGTATCCTGCTTTCCAGCAGCAAATTATGCAACAATGAAAACAGGTTTTTTTAATATTAATCCCAATCAAACCAGCCTCAGAGAAGTTCATACTTCAGGCAAATAAGAAGGTGAATGAATTTGACGTCATGAAATGTTTGGAGGAAAATTCCCTTTAGTCAACATGTGTGTGGATTGTTGACTTGTGCAAATTCACAGTACAGTATTTAATCTGATGTCACAAAATTGTGTTTGCTTTGCATTCATGCCGAGTATGAACTGGCCTTCAGGCAGGTTTACCATTTGTAAACCATCTTAAGACTTAGACTGCTTCATTGCAGCAGTCTAACTCAGAGACAGACTGACAGTAAATCCTTCAAGACCGGATAATTTGTTATAGACAGCTTCAAGACAAGTTAACACAATTCACCCCCATTTTGATAATATTTTGGCCTTTGCTTTCACAGATGGTCGATCTTGCATTTTTTGTGGCCATTCTGTGTGTGTTCCTGATCGCTTATGGCGTAGCCTCTCAGGCGATACTCTACCCTAATGGCACAAGCTTCCAAGAGGTCATCGTCGGGGTGTTCTTCAAAGCGTACTTCCAGATGTATGGCGAGCTATTCCTGGAGGAGATTCAAGGTGAATAAGAAACAATAGCACTCTGACTCATAATTAGCACCCTTATCGATACCTTAGGAAGGCATTCCCATCGACCCATGTACAAACCTTGAATGCCCTTATTCTCTTAAATGACAAAACTTAAACCCAATCAAACTTCACACATTTTTTTGTTTGACTAGAAACTTTCAAACTACCCACGTAAAAAAAACAGAAAAAGTTTGATTGTTTGTGGTACATGTACCAGAATTATTTGGGGGGGCTGCAAGGTGACTCTAGGCTAATGTTGAATGTTTCATCGCATTTTGTTGTTTACTACAATATGTCTTCCGAAATGCACTTTATTTAGCGTAAACATAATAAAAATGGATATTTATAAATCACAAACATATCCACCATGACTAGTGCTCAAGGCACTATATCATTATCCCAGCTCATCATCAAGGGGCCCGTAAACCTTCCTAAAACCAGCTCAGCTCCCTCAGGAGTATACATTTTGGTGCTGCTATGCCAGGTGCAAACAGCTGATCAAACAAAATATCCACCTCTTCCCTAGCGGGTACCCTATTACACCCCTGAATGCAGAGAGAGAGAGACCAGTTGGGATAAAGTGGCTTGCCTTATCACGTCCTACTCAGTTACTACACTGAGTAAATGTTGTGGTTGTAAACACATATTGTGTGTTAAGCACTAAACCTTTGGTCCTTCACTTCATGATTCATAGAGCTGCTTAAGCACAAAATTTGCTTAAGCGCAAAATTTGCTTAAGTGCAAAAAATCCTTGCTTAAAAACCAAAGGTTACCAGCTCAAAATCTACGTGATTGTCATGCTTACCAAACGACAGGTGAATACCATTCTAAAACAATATACATCACATGGAGTTGTGGCTGGTAACCTGCTTTGTCAAGCAAGGTTTTTCTCACGCTTAAGCAAATTTTGTGCTTAAGCAGCTCTATGAAATTGGCCCCGGTTCATTTGCAGGTGAAAACGGCTGTTCCAACAATGAAACCTTGATTGAGACTGGTGTCCCGCGATGTCCAGAGTATTCCACCATTGGCGTCATCTTGCTGGCCATGTACATGATGCTGAGTAACGTACTGCTGCTGAACCTCCTCATCGCCATGTTCAGGTGAGACCCAGTCAGTGACGCTCGACTTCAGAGTGGCAGTGATTGTTGCTATTTGTGGCCTCTATTGAAACAATGACTCTATATGTTATATTCAGTAATGTAACTAGTGTGGAGCTTCTGAGGGGGCACTCATTTTCAAACTATTTCAAACTTTCACTTGGTGGGCACGGGAGCAGGGCACAGAGTTCCATTGTTATGTTATGCTACAATAAACAACAACAGAACATTGGAAAAGCGGTTCAAGTTAGATGCACTCCATAAAGAGATCACCAGGCTATTAACCACTTGCTGCGGGGTGGTTTGAAAAATGCAGTGCACATAATTTGGACTTTTTCAAGATTTTCAGTTTTCAAAATTCTTCAAAAATTCATCATTTCAATTAATGGACGTTTACACCCACATGAATTACTGTCTGGTGGCCACTCTAGTCTAACAGATAAAATCTACTGACGCCTGAGTATTTCAGCCAGGCCTGCAGCCTTGTAAAAAGAGCCCAGTTTGTGTGGTGTTATGTAACATTCTTTTGTTCACGAACCTGGCACAGTGCACTGCAGACTTCTTTTCAATAGGGGCCAGATTAGCGTGCAGCTAGCGGTGCTGTGTGGCTCATCGCTGCGGTTGTGGAGTGCTTTTGTCCCCGGTGGTAATCTGCTCACACTAAATGTCCCAAACCGTGGTATACTGTTTCAAAACAAGGCTTGATTATCTCCACTATTGAGAGTGAAAAAATGTTGGTAATGCCCAGCAGCCTGGTTTTTTGTTTCGAGTGCGGTCTTTTGTAACAAGGCCCAGTTCCTTTTGTCCGATTTTAGAGACCCCGGCCATGCGTATAAACACACGGTGCCCGAAACCAGATTCCCCGGCGGCAAGTGGTTAAACTCATTGATTCTCATTGCAGCTACACCTTCTCGGCTGTCCAGGAGAACACGGATGTTTTCTGGCGGTTCCAGCGCTACGACCTGATAAAGGAGTACTTCAATCGCCCAGCCCTAGTTCCACCCTTCATCATTGTGGCTCATGTCTTCTTCCTGATTCGCTTCCTGATCCAGAAGATCTGTGGGTCCTGTCTGAAGTACCCTACCAGGGAAATGAGTAAGAGACTTCGTGTTTACTAACCAAGCCTTACTTATGGTTGGTTGATGGCTAGGGTGGGGTGGGTTGGGGTTGGGATGGTGGTTGCTAACATTACACCAAATAATTATCATTCTGGCCCTCATGGCAGCCCTTGCTCATTAACGGGCCACAGACTCTCTCGCAAATGGCAAAGATTTTCAAGGGTGCACAAGAGCAGCGGATGACAGTGCAGGTTGGAGTATTCATCAAATTACATGCAGTTAAAGGATTCCTTCATGAGTAGATATCAAATACCTGTACATTGCAGCACCACTAGATAACAAACATGAGGGGTCCACCAAAAAAATGTTCAGTGTAGCGATTGTTCAGTACTGAAAGCAATTGTCCGCACACGATGCACCTTTTCCCAGCAGTGTTTGGTAAAGTGGTGTTGTACCCTACATGTACATGCATACATGCACCTCTCACAAGAATCTCTTCATCAGTGGATTCTTCTGGCGAAAAAGCTTTCAAGGAAAACTGTTGAAAAAGCACGTTTGACACCCCTTTCTATTTGATTGCCAAAATAGCAGTTTCCATTAACTTTCTCAAAGATTGTGATTAATACATTCCAGTTTGGTTTGGGTAAGGGACCTCTGTATTCAGAGTATTGGACTTGATTGATCTATCGCTAATCATAGGATGTTTCTTTAACCCTCCTATGCTTTGATGCATTCTTGACACAGTTGTCATATCAGTCAAAATCAGTCAAATTTCCCATAGGAGTCTGTGTACTGGGGAAAATCGATTGGAAGGCATTTTTTACTGTTTTTGAGGGTTAAAACACTAGGATGGTTCATTTTGCATCAAATTGCAAACCTTGTGGCATTAGTACGTAACACTAAAAAAAAGGGACAATTTTGTGGCAGTCAAGCCCCCTAGGGGCCTGGGTTAAGCTAAGGGTGTACTCCTAAATACAAGAAGATATCAAACTGCACATCATGGTTCTACAAAGGGTGTTGATGCCATGAAATGTCACTCTGCTTTCACTTTCAAGTGATGTTCCAATCAGCCTGCAGAAGGTACCGTGGTATTCTCAGGGTACTAAGCACTTGATGTTTAAATCAGGAAGGGCAAACCATTTATTTTTTCATTTAAAACATCCTTTTCTTTTCCAAATTCCATCTGCTACAAACATACTTTGTCTAGAGATGTGCTTTGTCATTAGGCCATGCGTAAGCCATTTCTCATAACACATGTCCCTCGCTGTTCATCGTCATGTTGCCTTTCCCGGAATCTAGCCAGCGACAGGCGAACTCAGGCGTCTTACAGGAGAGTGACCAGTATATTGGACGAGATGAGAAAGAGCACTCGTGGAGCTTTTGCCGGGAGAAGACACTTTCGAGTACAGAGTATGCACTCCAGAATGTCTTTGTGCACTGGTGAACGATACCCCTGAGCCCGGTTTGAGGCTTTCTCCCCGATCAATGCATGCCGTGACCCTGAAGTGAATGAAACCGGGCCAGACATGGTTTGTTGGAAGTTCCTGACCCCCCCATTAATCCACACCCTTTGCACGATGTATGATGTACATTGTAAGATCTACAGCCTGCAATTTTAAGCATTTACCTGCTCTGAAAAAGACAGGTGTACAGTTGATACCGACACATTTGCCACTGGAGATTGGGCACATACTGATAGTGGGGCTTGTTTGTAAAACACTGGGATACCAAATACCCAAGCCCAAAAGGTGGACACCTGAAAATTCCAACAGCCTCCGTAAAAGGGCAGTATTTCATAAGTTGGTTGCCTACAAGGATAACATGGAAACGTTGAGTTTGCATCCAAAGAATACCTCAACAGATAACTTTTGATTCTTTTTGTTGGAGTGTAGCACTGCAGAGCATGGCATAGCAGTTTGCAGGGGAATCATGCACTGGCGGAATGCTGATATCATGTTTCTCATCGGCCATTTCATGGTTTAGGGTGCTGGTATTGACCCAATTTACATCCACCGTCGTTGTGGGCAAGCTTTTCAAGTTTCTCAAATGGTATAAAGTATTAAAAAAAACAGTGGAGCTAGTACCCAACCACACCTTTATTGTGATGCAGAATGCATGGTTTATGTAAAAAATGAGCCCCACTCTCAAGTTTACAACATATGTATGGTTACTAACCAAACCCCTGCCTGCTGTAATGGTGGCGGATCTTAGGGTACTGGTGGTCGTCTGGTGTCTAATGTATTGTGAGCACCTGAGTACATGGGAAACAGTTGCACATTTCCATTCAAACCCATACAAATCACAACCCTGGCAGACGGTCATTGTAATGTTTAAGTGATATGGTGGTGGCATCCTTCACTGCAAACATCTACATGTAACAAACGAAGCATTTTGCAATAACAATGGATGTTCATTGTTAGTCCACTGTGTTTCTTTTGTTAGATGTTCATAGTGTTTCCTACCTTTTAAACATCGGGAAGGACCCTTTGGAGACCTCCCCAAACCCTTTTTTCTCTTCATAGCATGCGTTGCCTTCTTGCCTGTCTTTTATCATAAGTTTGAGGTTGTGGTATCCTGTGTGTTTGACTCCTAACAATGGTAACATCTTGAGACTGAGAACTTACTAACAGTTTGCATTCCTCAACCGTTGACTGACCTTGTAGCTGTCTGATTTCATGTTTACAGTGATGGACCCCCAATTGCATCTTCAGTGGTACATGTAAAAGTGAAATCTGGTATTGTCCAAATGTTGTAGCTGGAAGAATCTTGTGCACTTAAGGAAGTCATTGGCCATGTTGTAGTTCCTACTATGAAGAATGTCTGGGAACTATGGCTGCATGCGAATCTGTTGTCCAGGTCTTCGAAATACACTGAGACGCACTGACGATGGACTTAGCAGTAGCTCTGAAAACCTGGTTTGGACACGGTCTGAGACAGAAAAAAAATCTCNAAAATTGGCCCCCCTGGCTTTAAATGGTCTTCCTTCAGCCAGATATAACTGTTTTGTGTGTAAAACAGGAAGGGTTTTTGGCCAGACTGTAGAAAGTTCAGCCTCAGTGAATTTGCTGAGTTCGATAAGTGCACTGTCAACTCCCCCAGTGGTTTAGTAAACTCTTCAATTATGAGTCATGTTTTCCCCTCACAGAGCAACGCCTCTCCAAGTCTCAGGCCAAGCAGTTGATTCTGTGGGAAGCCTTCAAGAGCGATGACTACGTCGTCAAGGAGAAGAGCCGCCTCCAAAGCGACATCAACGAGCAAGTCCGCACCACAAGCGAGAGGTTAGGCTCTTCAGTTGCTTCAGAACGGACCTGAACTCTCAGGATTTTTCCAGATTTTTAGGATTTTGACCTCATAAGTCTAGATGTTAGAGGCTGAATTTATGCCATCTAGGAGGACAGTTGCCTTGTTAGCTATCAAAAGGTCTTAGAATTCACAGTATTTTATTGTTGTCATTACTTTCTTTGCATACTTCTTGTTTCTTGGATTTCTCAAGACCTTCCAATCTCAACCTTGTGCAATTCTTCCTCACAGGGTGGAAGACCTCCTGGGTAAGATGGAGGAACTCTTTGCTGATCCAGAGACTGGGGTTCCTTCCAAAGCCTTAGGACTGCTTGGAGAAAAGGCCTTGGAAGACAGGCTCAACAGACTGGAAGATCAGGTATGTTACAAGTGGGTTTCCTATGTTTTGATAAACAAAAATCTAAACAAGAATTATTAAGCTGAACAATTTCAAAAGGGCTTGTAATATCTTCATGATAGGTCAGTTCATTTATTCAGTTGAACAGTATGTCAGATTAAGGTCATCACTTTGCTGTTCCCTTATCAAATTCAAGACCGTTTAATATGAAGTTGTATACTTGCTTTGGTTACACGGTTTATGATTTTAGGGATTCCATGTTCTGATTTTCAAATTACCAGTACTGAAATATCGATTGTGTTTGAATGCCACGCCCTGAAATAAGAAAGTAGACAGTACAGCAATGCATGATGGACTAAAGTTCATTGAGGTGGTTTGTGTAGTCCTGGACAAGACACGACAAAACAAACGTATGTGACATGGACATTGTGCCGTGCGTGGGTTGAGACTGAGTTTGCGACTGTAGCCTGACCAGTGTGACATTTAACCTTTGATCCTAGGTGGAAAGGATCAATCAGGCAGTTGACTGGGTCATTACAGCCCTGAACGACAATCAGCTTGGATCTAAAGATGGCCCACCCTCCCTGAAAGAGATCAAGCCCAGGGAAGGTAAATGCTTACGTAAAAGTCAGTCAAATGTGTCGCAGGGTCTATACTCCACAATTAGGAGCATCATGTGGAGCACTTGTGCCCAAGGCTTAATACTCAACATCTTCTTCTGCCCTTGGCTTGGCAGCTGCCCTGCACTTTCCATTGGGACATGTACCACTGCTGTGATTCAGATATGGCCTAGTGGCCAACATCAAGCATCCACACAATCAGTGCCATAGAGTACCGAAGTGTTACGTCACTGTGAACCAGAAAGTACAGTGCAAACGAATGGAGTACGCGCGCGTGTTGGTTCATGCGCTGGTTCTCGCGCTAATGCCTTTTACACACTAATTGTGGCGCGTGACGTATTCACTTCGGTACTCTATTCTCCAAGAATATTGCTATTCAATTGGCCTTGGTTTTGTGGGTTTTTCAGAGAGTGATGCCTTTGCAGAGTCTGGTGAGGATCACAAAGTCCCCACGACGCTGGAGGAACTTGGCATGGCATTGCACCAGAAGTCTCGCTCCAGCCCCTACCCCAGCACTGCTATCAAACGGTTCCCTGTACCTGATGAGAAGGTGCCATGGGAGGTGAGTACTGCAACCACACCCATGCCACACCCATAGTGTGCTCCTACCTACCCCTTCCATCACCCCTATGTCAAACTCCTGTCAACTGCCATTATGCATGCCACTCAACCAGAGAAAGCCCCATGGAAGTGGGTGCCCCAACTAAACCCCTACCTTATCCCCCGACATGCCCCATATCCTACTCCAGGCAGTATCTGATGCAAACTGTATCAAGTGAGCAGTTGCTAGTCCACCTACTGTAGTTGCGGCTTTCAGTGGAGTGTCCATTAGTGCTGTGCACATCGGCACTGGTTAGTTATGGAAGGTGATGCCTATTTGACCCCCCGATTGTAAACAATCAGTAGACACATTATGGGCTTTGGATGCAGTAAGCTGAGTGATGTAAAGGAAAACATGGCACCCATGAATAAAGCTTCTCCCAGTGTATAGGGCCTACCATGCCGACTGGTTAAGTGACACCAATGTGTGTGTGGTTGGCCAGAACTTTCTTTGTATTTCAGTGTGTACATGCCATCCAAAATTATAGAAAGGATCATTTCCCGAGCTTTAAACGTGAGGTCAGCTTCCAGTCACCTGACAAAGTAGGGTCAGCTTATACTTTTCAACCAATCAACAGCCTCCTGCAGATTTCTGCTCAAAATGATATCACGAAGTCTAAATTTGCCTCTTGACTAGTGCTCAGGGTCCCATCAAATTGTGTATGCTCACATATAAGAGACGTTCCAGAACTACACCTCCATTGAACAATAGATGACACTTCAAATGGTGTTAGCTAGTCATTCACTATGTCTACATTGAGTACGGCATACGGGTCACGGGTTTTTGATATGTAATGCTCTCAATTTGGGCATACTGTCAGGCAACATGTTGAACCAAACAATCTAGATTCCACATTTTTATGTTGTTCTCCATTCCCCACAATAGTGCGCCACCAAGAGTTTGCAACATGTTGGCCAATCACAATGCGCGAAATTTGTCGACCCAATGCGCGTTTGGAAAGGGTCGACAAATTTCGCGTGTTATAATTGGCCAACGCGTTGCAAACTCTTGGTGGCGCACTATTGTGAATTGCCCGTATTGAGACTCGTCTGTTGATGGTATTACTGCAGTCTATTACTACCGATACGGTAAAACAATGTCTTAGATTGATTTGAGTGACTGTCCTGCTTGTAAGTTGTTTAGTTGGTAACCTCCATCTGGTAACCACAGATGAGCTTCCGCAGCTACAAGCCAGTCCGCTACACCCATCCCAGCATCTTAGCCATGCCTCACTTCGCTGATGTGGACTTGCTGAAGTATGAGAAACATGAGCGGCCCATGCTGAACTTCAACACGCTGGACAAGTCTGTCAACTACGACCGGCAGAGCTTCATGGGCACGTACAACGTTGTGGATGGTATTCCTCAGTGAGTTACTCTTTGAGAATTTCCAAGCAATTATCAGGAATAGATGTACTGTGGTAAAGTAAGATTTGGGGACTTGATGAAAAATTTCAAGTGCTTTGTGGCAGTGTACATTCTACAGAAACAGTAATACATGTATTGTGAAAAAACCTACAGTAAAATCACCTCGAATCTCTGGGGAATGGACAAAAAATTTGAGTTATCCAAAAGTCGAGTTAAAAGAAGGTCCCGATTTCTTTTGAAGTTAGGTCATTATTACAGTGTGTATCATAACATGTACCTATACGCTGATGCACAGTTACCGTAAATTTCCCTACGATGACTTTTGAAATGACATTGTGGTTATTTTATACTTTGGTGCTACAGGTTTTTGTTCATAGAAAGAGATTTATGCGGATAATTTTTGTTGTCAATCGGCTGATAAATAACGCATTACATGTACTGTAAATCATTTAAACTGTGTAACTTTGTGTGGCAAATTTTTCTTTTGCGTTGTGCATGTGTGACGCATTGTGGTGGTCCCATTTCTGATCCCGCACCGTAATGCAGCACCCTCCACATACGTACTCGGGCGTGGTTTCCCGATGAGTCAGACGACTTTTTTCATCACATGAGGGCGCACCTTTTTGCGCTTCAATAAAATTTCATAAAAGCAAAAATGCTAGTGTGTCTGTTTTTATGTTTTATTCTTCGTTCGTTATTTTCAAACTTTTGTTTGTTTTTTTTTGGAGTGAGATTTTTCAAATATTTTCAAATAGAAGCAACCTCCAGGAAACCTAGTGGAACATTGAAATTACTTTTTTTAGTCTTTGCTTGTCTCATCCAGAAACCCACGAGGTCGTACTGGAATGGTGGGACGTGGGCTGCTTGGACGATTTGGACCCAATCACGCTGCCGATCCTATTGTTACCAGGTACAGAAATTTATAGTTGGTTGAAGTGAAAACTTTTCTACCAGTTGCTGGACTTAAATTCCCTGAAATGACAGGGAAGTGGCAGATGTTATGTTACTTGAGCTGGCATGTGCAGAGTATCACGTTTCTCTGTATCTTTACATTATTTACGCAAAGTATGTCCAAACAGTTTCCATTCAAATACGTTGGTCTTATTCAAAAGTCGACTGTACTGAATGGAAGTGAGGTTAACTTTTAGTTTGGTAACCTGAAAATAAAAATTGCTTTTTTATGACTTCACATATCTGCGTCTGTATCGTAAAATGATGCGTAAACAAAGCCAATATGCCAAAAGCTAGACACACATTATTCGTTTGGCGTGACCAATGCAAATGCTGCTGACGAATTTTGCCGAGGTTTGTAAGTGCATTGCACTGCTGATAGAAAATGTGCTATATGTTAATTTGCAGGAGTTGTAAGTTTGCATTGCATTTTAGGATGTATCGTTTGGAATTCGTTCCATCCTATTTCATCCTGCATTACAAAGGCTTCCAAATGTTGCCACTCAGTACCTATTTCGTGGTTACTTTGAGCACTGACTTGGCCATGTTCTTCAACAGATGGAAGAAAAATCTGGATGGCTCCCAGATGGAGGATGGCGGACTGAAGGTGCTGGAGTTTATTGCCATACAGAGGAAGGACAACCAGCAGTGGGCGATACCAGGGGTATGTAGGGGACCCACAGGGATACTGGGAGGGGTGTGGTGGGGTACAGATGTCAAGGTGCATATTGCCAGACAGAGGAAGGACAGCCAGCAGATGACAATAATACCAGGGGTTATGTAGGGGGACCCACAGGGATACTGGGCGAGGTCGGTATGAGATCTACTGGGTACAGGTGACGAGGTGTTTAGTGGGCAATGCCAGGAATATGTTAGTGGACCCAGAGGGTTATGGGGAATGGATGGGTGTGGGGTGTAGACAAAAATATAATATATAATCAGTGTTCTGAGTTATGTACTTGCTGAGCTTTCGGTAACTGGGTACCTTCGTCAGGGCAGGCAGATCCAGTTTTGAATGAAGGCAGAAAAATCCACATAATTTTTGTATCGCCGGTACATTAATGGCCGGATGCCCAGATACTTGGTCAGCATCTGCTCCTCGATGTGGCCAACAAACAGACAGGCATAACTTGGTCCCCCGCGTGCCCATAGCCACCCTACTGGTCTGAATGTAGTGGTCACCGTTGAACGTGAGCACCAATTCAGCCAGACAGAGCAGAGTGCTGGTGGGAGGATCCCGATTCTGGCCGAGATCTAGATAGTGTTTGAGCGCAGCCAAACCACCTGCGTGGGGAATGGATGTGTCAAGCGATTTCACATCCATGGTAAAAAGAAAGTTGAACTGGGAATTCAAGTTCATCGAACAGATGTAGAGCGTGGTTAGAATCCTTGACATAGCTGGGGAGCATTTTGACAATGGGTTTTAGAATGGTGTCAAGGAAGTTGGATATCAATTCAGTGGAACAACTACAAGCAGACACGATTGGGCGGCCTGGATTTCCGGATTTGTGAATTTTGGGTAGCAAGTAGAAGACTGCCATGCGTGAGTTGGGAATGACCAGTTTGATTGCGTTGGGGGGAGGTCACCAGAGTCAATGAAACCTCGGACAGTGGTAGCAACAATATCTTGATGCTCTAGTGTAAGGTTGCGGTCAGACAGTTGACATACAAGTCCTTACGCCAGACCACCGTAGCGCCACCCTTGTCCGCTCGCTTAATGATGATAATATCATTGTTCTTAAGAGACCTCAGTGCTTCTTGTTCAGCCAATGAAATGTTGATGCGCCAGAGGCTCTATTTGAAATGAAGACATTTGATTTCCTCAAGGCAGTTTTTAATGACGCGATCAAGGGTTTTGTTAAGATCAGAGGCTGGACACCAGGTGGACTTTGTGGGGGCAAGCTTAGCAATGACCTTAGACAAGTCTTCATTCTGAGTAGACATACCCGAATCAGAGCGAACTGACCTGGAGTCCTTGTCGTGGAAGAAAGCTCGCAGACGCATACGGCAGAAGAACTTCTCGACATCCTGATGGGTGGTGAACTCGTCCCATCAGTTCTTCAGCGTGATGAAATTCAGTCCATGCTTGAGGACAGAAAGTTTGCCATCAGTTAGGGGAAGATCTGGTGGGATGGTAACTACCAAACTCTTTTGGTTAGCGTTGTTCGTTGACGTGGGCGTACAATGAGATTTTTCTGATTTGAGCTTGGGGTACTGAGATTTGTGTTTCTTGATTTTAGTTGCTTCGAGAGCGGCATGAAGTTCGTGATTTAGGTTGTGAATTGTGTCCCTGATGATGTAAGCCCTACAGCCATCGGCGACATCATAAAGATGTCGTCGGCACCAGTCAGTGGTGTTACTCAAGTTATCAATGCACTCACACAGTTTGAACCTACACCTCATGATCTTACGTGAGGTGGAGTGTAAAATGCGGTGAATAGTATCACGATAAGAACTCTCACCCGGGTTGAGATGAGAAGGCTGGATTTACCAGATCTTGACTGCGTATGGGGTGTGGTGGGTACAGGTGACAAGGTGTTGATTGCCAAATAGATAAAGAGGAAGTGAAAGATTTGGGGGAATATACAATTACTCTGTGTTTTTTAGGGCATGGTTGAGCCGGGGGCCGTCGTCAATGAGACACTGAGGAGAGAATTTGGCGAGGAAGCCATGGGATCGCTGGACAAGTCTCCTGAGGAGAAAGTCGCCATCCAGAAGAAGATTGAAGACCTCTTCAAGCACGGTGTGGAGGTAAGACCATTTTTTTGTAGTTCTCATAATTACTGCAGATATTTTACTAGTTGTTGACTGCAGGAATTTTCTCTTTTATCCTCATCAGTTGTATTATCTGATTAGTGTACCCTGAATTTGACGAAACTCCAAAACTAGACAGTCATTGTATTAAAGCAGATGTCTTGGATTCATATCCCATGCTCTTTTTAGTTCACTTTAAAGGTTTTGTCATTTTATTTGGAGATGGTAGTTTTGGAAAACGTGAGTTATACTCATGTAAAGGAGTTCATACAATAGACTGGTTTGAATATAAGATAACATAATTAGCAAAAGATGTACATGTACACTTTTCTTGGACACTTGAAATCTCTGTTAAAAATGTTACTGTGGACCATTTGCAGCCTTGCTACTCAAAAAGTATCATGTGGGAGAACTTTCCGTAGTATAGGGCAGATCCTCAAAAAAAATTTTGAGAGGGGGAGTAACCGAAGGGGGGGGAATTGGGGAACTTTCGTTTGAAATCTTTCAAGGTCTTTCAGAGGAATTAGACTAAACATTGTCAGGACTTCTATAATGGTTTTGAATCCTGAGAAATGAATTCGTCCCCCTCCCATTTTTCCTGATTAATTCAAAACAAAACAACCCCCCCACAAAATCATGTTGCACCTCTTTATTTTATTTTTTTGGGGGGGGACATGGCTTCTGTTGGGCCCCCTGAATTTCTCAGTGTCATCACTGAGCTACTTTTTGACATTTTGCTTTGCATTTCCACTGATCATCAACACTGCTGTCACTGAAATTAAAAAACCCCTGATAAAGGAAACTTCAAATGTTGGCACTTCATCGCAGGTGTACAAGGGTTATGTGGATGATCCAAGGAACACAGATGATGCCTGGATGGAAACCGTAGCCATGAACTTCCATGATGAGGAGGGTACATCAGTAGGTCTGCTTGAACTTGAGGTTAGCTCTTTTTCATTAGTCATTGAGGTGACCAGCAGAATTTCAACCTCTCACCAGTTTTATTTCTGTCTTCACACCATGTGATGTGAAAATATGCCGGGATTTCCTGTATTGTAATATGAAGTACATTTTAAGTGTGGTTTGGCAAATTCTGCATGTAATGCCATGTCGCGTCTATACTGGCACCCATGTTGTGTTTGTACCCAGAGGCTTGTAAACCTGTCCATGGAAGTTGAACATGCATGGAGCCTTTAAGTGGCTGTGGGCCACGGATAGGTGTTAGGGCCATCACTCCACAACATTTGTCTCAGATTCCTAAAAATGTGGCAATGTAGTAAGAAATGCTACTCAAATCTGGAGCCGACAACCACCTTAGATCTGCATTTTAAAAAATAACTCTTGCAGAAAAGTGACTTTTGTGCAGGGCTCCACTAAAACGAGTGGTTTCTTGTACAGAGCTCTGTTCACTTCTTTTAAAGTCTCTGTTGGTTGCATGTAAAGTCCAGTGTTTAGAGAAATCTAGAGTGTCTTTGGAGAAAAGGGAAGTTTCCTTGCTGGAAACTTGCACTGCATCCTGACAAAAGCGGCGATGCTTGACTTTAATTGCCTCCTCTCTACTGCGGTTATGTTTGTAGCTACGTGTACCTGTAGAGTTTCAACAGCAGATATTGTGTCATTTCTACCTTTCGTTGAGCAGGCCGGTGACGATGCACAGGGTGTGCGATGGCAGCGTGTCAGCTCCAAGATTCCTCTCTTTGCCAGCCATCAGGCCATGCTCAGGAAGGTAGCTGAGCTGCACAGCGCCGCCTTCTAGACGGAGGAAGGGCCATTTGGAGCTGGGTACGTGCAGCAGAGAGTCTTAGGTGGCAGAGAGTCAGTTGTTTTCTGTCCTAGCTAGCTTACAAGCAGTGGCTCATCAGAGGGTGTAGCTTCGCATCACTTGTGTTGTGACATCAGAGCAAATATCAGATTGGAGCTGTTTCACACCAGACTGATATGCAAATGGAAGTTTTACTGGTCAGTACTACTAACAGCAATTGTTTCTTGGGTTAAACAACTCCTTGTTAAGTAGAATTTCCCATGTGAACCAAGAAAGTTCTCTAAAAATAAAATCTCGTCATTTGTCTGGAGTACTTTAGCAGGGCTTTCCAACATGTACACAGACTACACAAGAATCTGAAATTTAAAGCAGTTATTTGAAAAATCAATCAGTCTTGCCACGATTAGATTTGCCAGAATGTGTGAAAAGAGAATGAACACGTCAGCCAAGAAAAGCCAGGAGATTTATTTAATAATATAATTTGCATTAAATGCATGTCAAATGTGCCATGCCTGCAGGGTTAATCCGGAAGCCGTACAGATTCTATGTTGTTTCTATGGGGGAAAAAATAGATATTTACTCTTAGCACCATAGGGAAAGTATTTTACGTCAAGTTATGTTGAGGGAAATTTCTAGATTTATAGAAGATATTTTCACAGGATATCTGTTATTTTTTACCTGTAAACTTAAACTGCTCCTGTTTGCAAAGTTCATCTCTACTCAAAAATGAAATTTGAAAATGGAAATTTTAGAATATTTGTGAGCTGTAAATGAATATTCATCAAAGCATAAGTGTGACCAGCTTCTTGACCGCAAGTAAGGTGTTGCAAGTGTGTTCACTTCTGCTGCCTGTTTGATTTTTACTCATGAATATCCCGCCAATTCATCTTTGAGCAAAAGTTGAGAGTGACCCTAAATTTGGCAAACAAAATTCCACCTGCAGGACTTATTACAGTTCTCAGCCCAGGGTTTGTTATATCTGTTCAGAGCTCTTCGCAGATTGGGAAATGCTCTTGTTCACTTAATGTAACGACACAGACAAGGAAGACACATGCAGTATGATGAACAATATTATTGGCTGTAATTTGTCCTTCACTCCATCTGAGTTTATCGGTCCAGTAAAACTTGTCAAGAAAGTTTATAAGCAGTCAGAATGCTTTGTAGCAGGTAGCATGCAATATGAGCACAAGTACTTAGCATATATCGCTGTGTCATTTTGACTTGATTGCGTATAGGGTGCGCGCTCACTAATGAGTGATTATATATAAATAAGTTGAACCGTATATAATGCTTAAATTAATGTTGACAAATTAAAAATCTCATTTATCAGGTAGCTGAATGGTACAGTTGAAATCTTGTAATTGAATTAATATTCATGACTGGAATATTTGAACTCCAAACCACATTTTATTGTATCTTTGAAATGGTAGTAACATTTTGGTTTAGCTTAACCAATCCCAGTGGTGCAATTTTAAAATAAGTCATAATTAGTGCTGCGATTTCCAGTCAACAGGCGATATTGAACTTTATGTTTGTGAAAAATAGTGGATTCTATCAAATACACTGGCCCAAATCTTATAGCTTTATTTGGACAGTGACAGACTATGTTTGTGGGATTCTGGCAAGTTAAATTTTGGAGTACAGATTAATGTCAGTCCAACTCAAAATATGTAAACGTTTCACAACGATGAGAAGGATACTTCGAAGTGCCTTTGAAGTTTTTAAGTGTTAGTTTGAAGTTTAGAAACCAAAATATACTGTTGTATATTTTGATTCATGCTACTACTTCCTAGTTAAAGATTTACAAGACATTTTTACAAGTCATTTTTATCCAATGCCATACATAGTGCTCACATAGTTTTATTAGTAAAACTGTATAGAAAATTATAATGTTTGGAAGGAAATAAGCTTTTTAAGTGTAATCAAATATGTATATGCAACAGAACTTAGTGAAGATATCATTCGTACAAATTGTTTGATAAAACATTTTCAATGACCAATCCTGGAAAGATCAAATCAGAAATTTTGTACATGTGGATACATTGTGTCCTGAGTTTTTTTAATAGAAGATGATTATCCTGCACATTTTATGCCACACATTAAGTTTTAAAGGGCAGATACAATTAATGATATGTCATCTTTGTTTAAGACTGTAAAATGCCAATACATGAATAACAGTACGCTTTTAAGATACAGATCTGACATGAATTTTTATCATGGGTAGGGGTATATTACTGTTGATATTGCCTAAGTCATTGAATATCTCAGATTAAATGAAAGAATTACCAATCTTCCTCCTTGTTGGAGTGTTTCATGAGCATGCCACATTTATCTTATTCTGCAACTGCTAGTTCCATTTCCGTACATTGTCTAATTTGGACATTATTTTTTCATTACAAACTCTGCAATGAAAAATCGCCCGGTGCCTTCACATGTTCCCGCTTTACTGCTGTGCACCTGTGTGCGCATGACGGTGTCTTCCCGCCAAATAGACGTCGGTTCTAAGGATAACAACTATAAGGAGCTGGGGCTTACAATCCCGACTAAATATGTCTGGGCCTTTTTTCGGTGTTTTATTCCAGAAATTTGCAGCGGTTGACGAAATGTTGTCTTTAAAAAATAAGCTAAATTGTTTAAAACTTGGTTGCCAAAGGCGTGTAAAAGACCCTAAAATGTACACGTAGCCTTAACCCTCAGAAAAGGTCATAAAAAGTTACATTAAAAATTCCATTTGGACCCCCTAAAGACGCACCTCCCCAAGAAACATAGTTCTGGATCCGCCCTTCGTCCTACTTTACTTTTTTTCCAAGTTTTGTTTTGCCTTTAAAGGTACATTCTTATTTTTATGCAAATGAAAATGGCTATATTTATGAGCAAAACTGTGATGTCATTCTGGGCAGACATTGCTATTTCGTAAAGGTAGGCCTATATTTTAGTGCAAAATAAATCTCTAAAATCTCGGACAATCTTCGTCACTTTTGGTGTGGAAGTACATAACAGCGAGCGACTCTGTCTCACGTAATTGGGTCGACAATATCATACAGAATCTCTGAACTAAACAATGTCTTCTCAGAATCACGTCATATCAATGACTTCTGTTGTTTTCACGAAAGACATTGAAACTTTGTTAGGAAGGAGTGCATTTTTTGTAATCAAAAGCGATGCCAAATATTTTGGATACATTAAAGCTTTATGATTGTGAAGTTGCCCAAAAAGTTTTTTCTTGAAAAAAATTCAAGGCATAGTGCCATTAATCTCTGCATGGTTTAGTTGGTTAAATCATGAGCTTTCTCTTCGTGGACACCGTGACTTCCTTTACCAGCTGGTGTCATAAGGCGGGTCTGGGGCCAAGGGGCATGCTCCTGCCAGAAGGCTTTTTTTTTTCAAATAAAAAGCGATCTTTTAGTCTGTTTCCTTTCCCATTCTTCTAAAATGAGTGTTAAAAGCACCAATTAATTATGCACCCCGCAGGTTCAATAATGTGCTTTGCGCGGACAGAGCCTCAACATCCACGGCAACAAATAGTCTGTCGCGGGATCGGAATCCACATTTCATTAGGCCTACTTTAGTGGAGTTATACGAAGAAGCACGCTAATTTATTCACATCAACCATGCATCAACATTTAACACAACTGAAAACACGACGAGAGAAGGTGTACAATGTTGAAAATAGATTATTATAGTACGACAGAAAAACTGCTTGTTCAACCACATCTTTATAAAGAAGGACAATGTGTCTGAAGAGCTATACACCACACATCAGATCTACCACATTGCGCATGTTATTTAGCAGAACTATTGGGTTCCTGAATAGGTTGTCATTTTATGTTGCATGTACATGTAGTAAAAGAAACAAGAGAAAACTTACCCCCCCCCCAAAAAAAAGCGGGGAAAATGTCGTGTCATTCACTTAATACTATGGAAGAGTGGAGACATCTAGACAGGTGTAGGCCTATCTGGTTCGTAACTGTGAGGTCACTCCAGTTTAAACATAGACCCGGAAGAGAAAAAATAAACAAGGTTTATGGTTTAAACCAGGCCCACTGTACATATGCACAATGCACTCCACGCAGAGTTACATGCCGTCGTTTACAGGGAACCGGAAGTTTACGCACATCTTCAGCGATCATCCACAAATCGCGGCGCGTCCGCGTGTATGACAAAGTTACGAACCGGATAGACGTGGTCCAGGGACTTGCCCATATTGATTCGCGTTAAAAGTAAACAGAAGTCGTCAGGGAGAGCATTTAATGTTGACGACGATTGTTTGTGTTAATGTGTAGTTTTGCTATGTAATGCACTATTATAACGTTGTAATCACACAGTATAACAGCAACATTCTGTGTAGTGATGTTAATGACTTTGTTATCTCCTTAATATGAACAGTGACAATCAATATCTTTGAGATGGCCGAGTGGTTAAGCTCGCGGTTATCAGATCGTCAGACCGTGGGTTCGAATCCAAGCGTAGGTTTTTATTTTCCCAACGCTTGCTGTCAGTCAGTAGCTATAAGAGACTCTAATTCACCCCGTCAAATACCAACAGTACCTTAGCCTACTGGATAAGCTCTTCTGCTGGGACTGTCCGCGAAGTCCAGGTGAGCACCTTAGAACAGGTTCGA